AGCCCTTTATCATTAAGTAAATGATACTTTTTACATCATTCTTTGTCCCTAAAACTTTTCCTTGTTCTGAAGTCTGCTTTGTCTGAAATTATTATATCTACTCCAGCTTTCTTTTAGCATGATATATTTTTACCTCCTCTCTTACTTTTATTCTATCTCTGTCTTTATATTTAAAGTGGGTTTCTTATAGACAACATATAGTTGGGTTTTTTTCTCACACATGCTGATAATCTCTATTTTTTAATTGGTGTATTTAGACCATTCATATTTAAAGTGATTAATGATATAGTTCGATTAATATCTTCCATATTTATAACCATTTTCAATTCCTTGCACCTGTTCTTTATTTCTTTTGTTCTTTTCTATTCCTTCTCTGGTTTTAATTATTTAGTGTGATTCCATTTTTTCTCCTCTTTTAACGTATCAATTATACTTCTTTTTATAATTTTTTAGTGGTTACTCAAGATTTTATAATATATATTTACAACTAATCTAAGTCTACTTTCAAATACCTGGTTAGTCCAGGTATTTTATAATTGAGTATTCACAATTCCTTTCTCCTGTTCTGTATAAAATTGCTCCCAATTATTAATTTGTGTATACAGTATATCCACAATACCCAATTATTTTGAACATTTTTTTCAACTTGATCTATTAATAATAAGAAAAATAAAATATTTTAATTTACTTTTACTTATTACTTCTCTGGCATTTTTCCTTTTTTAGGTAGATCTGAGTTTCTAACCTATATCATTTTGTTTCTCCTTGAAAAGTTTCTCTTAAAATTTTTTGCAGGACAAGTCTGCTGGTGATGAATTTCCTGTTTTTTGTTTGTTGGTTGGTCTAAGAAAGTCTTTATTTCTCCTTTATTTTTGACGGATAATTTAACCAGAGATATATTTTCAGTTTGGTGTTTATTCTTAAGTATTTCATTCCTGTCTTTTCTTGTTTGCATGATTTCTGGTTAGAATTCCACCATATTTGTTAATCTTTTTCTTCTATAAGCAGGTTTTTATTTTCTTTGGTTTTATTTTCAGCATTTTATTTTATTTTTGTGTTATTTTTTTCTTTACTTCTCTTTTCCTTTTTAAAAAAATACAGTTGAATATGATATGCTGTGATGTAGATTTTTTTTGGTATTTATCCTTTATGGTGTTTTGATATTCTCTAAGCTTCCTGTATCTATGGTTTGGTGTCTGTCAATAATTTTGAAAAGTTCTCAGTCACTATTCAAATATTTTTCCTGCTCCATTTTCTTTCTTCTCCTTCAGTAACTCCAGTTATGCATATGTTATACCATTTGAAATTGTTCAACAGTTTTTCAATTTTATCATTCATTTTTTCCTTTCTTTTTTCTCTTCTTTTTTTCTAAATATATTGTTTCTGTTTTGTGTTTCATGTCAGGAAGTTTCTGTTGATTAATACTCAAGTTCCCTGATTCTTTCCTCGGTTGTGTGCACTCTAATGATGAGCCTATCAAGTGCATTCATCATTTATGTTACAGTATTTTTTGTATTTAGATTTACTTTTGAGTATTTCTTAGAGTTTCCATCTCTCTACTTACATTACTCATCTGTTCTCACATGCTGTCTACCTTTCCCTTTACAGCTCTAAGCATAGTTATTGTGCTTATTTTAAATTCCATGTCTGATCATCCCAACTTTTCTGTGGTATCTGAGTCAAGTTGTGGTGCTTATTTTGCATCTTCAGACTTCATTTATGTATATATATTCGAGTATGCCTTATAATTTTTTGTTAAAAAGTAGACATGATACACTGGATAATCCTGAGGTAAACAGATGTTTAGTGTAGGTTTTATGTTAATTTGGTTAGCAGTGGGTTTCATTTAATGTTTGCTGTAGCTGTAGATGCCAAGGGCTTTAAAATCCACTAGTGTCTTTTGTTTGTTTGTTTTGTCTTTGGGTTCTCCTGAGAACTCCAACCAACCCTGGATAGGAATACAGCAACTTAAACCTGAATCGCATGTTAAATGCAGCCACTGAAATGAAAATGATTCTCATAAAGTCTGTGAGAGAGAAGAAAAATCCAAAATAATAAATTTTGAAAATAAATTTGTGTTAATTGACCAAAATAGTACAATCGGAAGCAACTGTATAACAACAATGCAAGCATTTGAAAGAAAAGATTTAGAACATAGTATCTATTATAGACAGTATGAATAAGCAGAACATAATCAGGTTGATTCTATTCAAAACTTTAATCCAGGATTTTTAGCAAAACCTTTTAGCTTTCAGGATCAAAATTCTCATTCAAAGCAAGGGCTATATGCACCTCATATGTTTATTGCAGCATTATTTACAATAACCAAATTATGGAAGCAGCCCAAGCATCCATTGATAGATGAGTGGATAAAGAAAATATGGGATGTGTGTGTGTGTGTGTGTGTGTGTATACACACCCAAACATATAGGAATATTATTCAGTCGTAAAACAGAATTAACTCTTGCTATTTGCAACATGGATGGAGCTAGAGTGCATAATGCTAAGTGAAATAAGTCAGAGGAAGACAAATACCATATGATTTAATTCATATGTGGAATTTAGGAAACAAAACAAATGAACAAAGAAAAAAAAGAGACAAACCAAAAATCAGACTCTTAACTATAGAGAACAAACAATGGTTACTAAAGGGGAGGTGGGTAAGGGAGATAGGTGACACAGGTGATGGGGATTAAGAGCACACTTATCTTGATGCGTGGAACTATTGGATCACTATATTGCACACCTGAAACTAATATAACACTGTATTTTAACTACACTAGAATTAAAATAAAGTAAAAATAAAAACTGATTAGTATCCCCTCCAAAAAAAGAAGCAGAAACACTTGGCTGATGTTGCCCCCATAGACCTCTACAGGAGCAGAGACTTACCGCCTCCCATTTGCCACAGATGTCTCCAGATCATCTCACTTGTTTCTGTAGCTGAGTATTCCAGGCATCCAAGTTTGCCTTCTAAACCAATTTATTAAAAATTGGGATTAAAAAACAAACAAACAAAGCCTTAGTTGGTCTTTTATAGAACCTGAAGGTCAAATAGAAAGTCAGAATGTTGGTTATATTCCAGTGACATGTCTATTCAGTGCACTTTTCCCATGGATGGTTAGTAATAATTAACATTAATTAGTCAATAAAAAAGCACACATGAAGGTATTTACATCATTTTTTGGATCTTTGTAATTTTGGATTATTGAAAATAGCTACCTTTTCCAAATTATCTCCATATCTTCTTTTTCTCTGTGTCAGTTTACTCCATTTTGCAAAAAGCCTGACCTACTTTTGTGAGTCCCTTTTGTAGAATTGAGATTGTGTTTCAAGACATGGTTATGACTGGCCCTATGTGGTTTATTTTGGAAGTACTTAAGAAGAAAACAGTAGAGATTGAAATCTTAAGGTTAGTTACATAGCCTTGACATTTTGCCTAATCTCAGTAACCCATATCCACTGATACACTTTTCCCCAAGGATAACATCCAGTTAATAGTTTGTTTTTTTTTTTATCTGCATCCTGTGTGGTTGCATGGGAAACACACAGACACACAAATGCACACATAGAAATATGTATGTACATGTACATACAAAATCTATATATGTGTGTATATGTATACATAAAACTAAATATATGTATATACACATATACACACTTGCAATACATGTATATCTGTTCACTTCATTTTCCTTATTTATGCAAATGGATTCATATCATGCATACTTTTTTTTTGTACCTTGATTTTATTCTTTTCAATGGTTGTGTAGTTTTCATTTGTGGATATTTCTATTGTGTCCAGTTGTTTGTGTTTTATATTTATTTTGTTTTGTTATTAAAAATTATACCACTGGTATACTCTAGTGATGATATTATTTTGAATTTTTACAATCAAATTAATGATGGGAAGTCCTAGAAGTAACATTCTGGATCAAAAAGTGTGTATATTTAACATTTTGGAACATATTGGCAATTTGTACCTCAACATATTAGTACCAACTCTAATTTTCTTGAATCTGTACCTTTACTAGATCTTCTTGAAATTTAATTTTCTCTATTCTGATTTTTATCCCTTTACAATGAATGCAGTTGTACACTTTTCCATATGTATATTGCATATCTGTCTTCATTGTTCTGTAAAACTCTTGTTCATACATCAGATATGAATATCCAGATTTCAGAATTTTCTCTGGATTGGTTAGCATTCTAAAACTCATTTGTCAGGATAATTTTTATCTAGAGTTTCTGGAAGGGAAACCTGCTAGCCCTTGTTGCCTGTTCAAGAGCTATGTGTCCCAGGAGTATTCAAGTCGACAGCTTGCTGCCTGGTTGAGATGCCATATGATATTTCCCTTGGGGCAAAGTTTTTCTTAATGTGTCATCTCTATAGGTTTCCCCAAAGGCTCCTGAGTCTTATAAGATATCATAGTCAAAGGTGAAACCACGGCTTACTAGCTATAAAGAGTGAAATGCTCACAACTTTCTCTTATTAAGCCCAGTAATTACTTGGCAAAGGCTGAAGGAGGAGAATGGTGGAGTGCCGAGGACAGGTACTCTGAATCAATATCCTCGTAATTCTGAGAATGTTCCGAAGTTTGTTCAATCACTATTCATTGAACCCCTATTATTTGTAGGCCAGCTACTAATTAATTCTTGTGTGTACAAAATGTATATCGAATAAAAAATACTTGTGTTTTTGCCTGTCAGGCACAGTGTGCCATGGGTGTAAATTGAAATGAGAAGACATACTTTAAATTCTAAAGTGGAGAACCCTCCTGGATGGACTTTATCTAAGCAGAGTTTGGGGGGGGACAGAGATCATACTCAGTGTGTGAGAAATGGGATGCCAATGATGTCTCTGTCATTCTCCTGATCAGGTGCCCAGTGGACAAATTACTGGCAAGTTCAGTAACTTCTCAATATCTAGCTATAGTGTTATAGGCCCTCCTCTCATAATTTATCCTCAGGCTCAACTCTGTGCATGTGGTTTCTCACAGTATTCAAAGGCGGAAAGGCATCCTGTGACTGCATTGGAGAAAATGATGGAGTCAAGTTTTGCCGGCCCCCAGTCATTCCCAGAGGTCCCTTCTCCTGACAGAGGAAGCCAGTCTGTCAAACACCACAGGTACAGGTAGCTACTCATGGTGGGGATGGGCACGTTCACACTATGTCTAACGCTGGGCAACACAGGCCAACGAATGGCAACCTGATTCAGGAGAGATGATTGTTCTTGCTTCCCCTTAGTTCTCCATGGAGTGGATGCTCAAGCAGCTGACAGCCAGTAAACCAAAGCTAACAGCAGGCAGCCATGCACCTGTACGAAGCCTGAAGGAACTATTAACAACACCCATCAAAGCTGCAGACACAGACCAGTGAATGAAACAATTGCATTCTGAAAAACTATTAAAAACATGATTTTTCCTAGCCTGCCTTATCACTGTCTGCAAATTTAATGACTAATTCTTCCCTAGGCAGCTGATGTGACATACTCCATGTCTTCCAACATGGTTCTTACACAAAGAAAACTTTTCAGGGGGAGGAAGCTTGGCAGGTGTTCTCCTTGGGATTATAAGATCTGTTATCAATGGGGTGGCACTCTTTTGCAAGCTGACCATAGAAATTGGTTCTTTGGGGTAGAAAGCCAAACACAAGATTATCTTATAAATACCATAACATTCGGAGGCCAAGCAAATTTTTCAGCATCTTCTAGTCACGTGCTGCATTTCATATACAAAAATCTGAAACTCCGAAGATGCAGTCTTTGTTCTAAACCAAGTGCCAAAATTTGGGACTGATGTTATGTTTATGTGCATCTGAATGTAATAGCCTCAGTCTTTGTGGAAGTTGTGCAGTGATTTAAGCATCCTTTTCTTAGTGAGAAGTACAGTATTTTAAAATTAGATATATACATATGAAAAGATTAAAATTTCAAAAAAGGAGAAGGTATAAAATAGTAGTTGTCACTTATCGTGGTGAGCGTCAAGTCATGTATAGAATTGTAGAATCATTATGTTGTATCTCTGAAACAAATATAACATTTCATGTCAACTATATTAAAAAAAAAAAAACCTTGAAAAAACAGCCAGTTGTCCCCAACAATAACAGATAAATATTGTTGACCCTTGGTTTTCACATATCTAGGCAATGTTTTGAAAACCTCCATGACAGAAACATGCATTATACAAGTATCTTCTTCCTTGACTCTCAGTGAGTCCCCTAAAAAAGGATTTTCTTGATGCTGGCCACATTTACTGGGAGGTTTTCAGTCTGTATACTAATCCTCATTATTGGATGGTGATTTTTTTTCCCTCATTCTACGTGAGTAGAGACTGAGATACCAAAGGTTTGCTAAGTTTTTTTTTTTTAATGGTTTAAATATTTTCACCTTGGAATTGAAATATATTTGGCTGTTGGATTATTGCTTTATTTATTAACTACAAGTTTTGGGTGATATCATTTGAGGTATTTACAGATAGTTTCTTGTTAAAAGAGCATTTTAGTTCACTAGATCTAATGGAAGCTCTTTAATTAGGGAAATAAGTCCAAAATTACCGGCCTTTTATAAGATGGCTATTTTCTCCAAAACAACATTTTCTCCTGCTGATTATAACACATGTTGAAGTGGTGTCCCATCCAGTCGAGTAAAATAATTATGTATAATGTTATTCTAGGACTATGTTATGCCATCAATGTTTTAAAGTTGAAGTAAAAAAGAATAACAATTTCTAATGTATTTGACCTGCAAATACCTGACCCTATTCCTTGTCTGTTGACATACCGCCTTCTTAAACTTGGCTTCTACTATGTTTCCAGGAACCACTCACAAATCAAATAAGGACATTTTTAAGATATCTTCCTTTTTGTTTGGTTCAATGACATTGCAGTATTTGTTGGCATATATTGTGTCCTGATAGATAGGCAAGGGTTGATTTATAAAGTGCTTTTAGAACTTTGTAAATTATAGTTTAATATATCATAGCTTTTGTTTTGTAAAACATACAGTAGACTTAAACGTTTTCATGATTGATAACCTGGTCACTGATTTATACATCCTGCAAACTGCTCTATAACTTCCCGAATGCACTGGGTTAGAAGGCTTGAATAGTTGATTGATCAATAGGTGTAGAACTGTTTTTGAAGATGGGTCACTAGTTCATAGTGGAAGACTTTGTTGTTGTGACAGTTTGGCTAGCTATGAATAATTAATTTCTTTTTTGTGCACTGCAAACATGACTTATATGGATAACTCATTATAACAAAGCTATTAATTCAAAGCCATTATTTCTCATGTTTAAAAGGGAAAACAATCCTCTTGCTTTTTAAAGAAAAATCTATTATGTTATGTCATACCTATTACATTACATTTTAGCAATATAACTCTCTTATGGACAGCACGTATGTGGGGTTTTTAGAGTGAAATAAGACCAGGGTTTTCGGTGATTACCATGAGCCCCCAAGTTGTCAGGTGAAGAGGAGGAGTCAGGGGAGCTCATTACACTGAGCCCCTACTCCCTGCCCGGCTCCATGCATAATCTCTCTTTTAGCCCTACTACAGTCCTATGAAGATACTGAAGCATGATGCTAATACCTTCCTTTGGCACCTCTCCAACCCATATTTAGTTTTTACCTTTTTCTGCCTTGCCCTGTGCACTGAAAGAGCAGCAGGCTCTCTTGTCTGCTGTCAATACAAAGCACAGGCAGGAGATGGAAGGATGGGTGGAGACTGAAGTCCTGGTCTTTCTGTGCCCTCCCTCCCTGCTCGCCTCAGCTGTGTCCCTCGTCCCTCTTCCCAGGGCCATAGTGCCTGCCAGGTGGTCCTTTCCTTACAACTCCCCTTCCCTCTTCACTCTGATGGTTTCCTCCTCCCCTTGTCCCTTCAGTTACAGTGATATAAACAGCCTCCCCTTGTTGGCCCGAATACAGTAGTGCCCTATGTTGGCTTTTTTTCCCCTCTTAAACACTGAAGACACCTTTGTAAACAGTAAAATCTCCCCAATGACCCAAATTAGAGTACCATCTCTTTCCCTTTAGGACTCTGACTGGTAGAAATATTTCCCCCGGTATCATGCTGCTAGTAATGTACAGACCTGAGATGCACCGCCAGATGCAGCTAATTCTAGGACCAAAGCCTGAGTACCCCCACAGATGCCATAATAGCTCCTGGATAATACAGATAGATGCTAGAAGGGAGGGGAAAAGAGCTATTGGAACTCTTTAAACTTGTGGCCTCGGTGACCTAACTAGCAGTCCCATGTTGTCAACATACAAGAAATATCATGATAAAGAATGAAGGTATAATATGTTGCAAGGTATGACCTAGTGTTTGTACAAACTCGAGAAGTTAATGTTGGCTTGAAGAAGGTAAAGTTTGATCATTCACTTTGCCAAAACCAGGAAAGTATCTCCTGGCTCTCAAATGTCAGGTTCTCAAACTCTGATCTTAAATATATGAGATGTTTTGTTTTGTATCTACTAAGTAGAAATAACAGTAGTGTTGGGAGGGAAAGTTCCAGAATTCCAATTAATGTAGTGACATGGGTAAAATTACTTTGGGAAACTGGTCCCTTTAGAACTTGATAGGTTTGCTGAAATTTTGAAAGTGATTTTCAACTTTCTCTATGTGGCTTTGGTATTTTTAGAGTTAAATGAGAATACAGCAAAAGATTCTAACTTTGCTTGTTATCTGAACACTGCAGAACAAGTTTGACCACATAAACTGGCATCGCATGGAATGTCTACATAGGAACAGAGTTCTCCTTACCAGTCCCCATGGCTGTAGGGTACATTCAGTGGGGTAGAGATGGAAATGGGTATGGAATAGGTAACAAGTCAAATTAGCAATTGATTTTTATAAAGAGTCTAGCTCTTTTGCTTAGCATGATCTATGTAGGAATCTCAGTCTCACCTAAGATATATCCCATGTATGCCTTTTGCCCTGTGATGGCATATGAAAACATGGTTATTTAGGTGTTTGGGTGTATAAGTCAAGGAAAATATATAATCAGATGTTTATTAAAAGCAAATTCAAAAGAAAACCAATTTAGTTTCGCAAGATTGATGAAAATCTGAGGTAGTGAACTGGGAATTTAGCACATATGTTAAGGAGAGAATGCCAACTCAAATGAGGTTTATTTATTCTACCACTAACACAAGTGAACTTTTCCCAGTGAATCGCTTCGGAGTTCCTGTGTTTAGTTTTTGTCAATATCTAATAACAAAGCCATTTTTATTTTTATTAGAGAGATAGCTACTCTGTCCTGGATAATGAGGGTGGCTGAGAATCAGGAGCTTGAGAATTCCTTAAGCCCACCTCTTATCTTTGGCTGGAAACCTGTGATTTTTTTAGTCCATTGTGCTCCAAACTAGAAAGCCAGAAACACGGCAATTTCTCTTTGTGTCAGTTCCTGCAAGGGTGAATGGATTCAGCAACTTCTGGTCTCCTCCTGGCAGATATTCTACCGTCATGGTTGGAGAGCCTAATCTAGAACTTTTGAGTATCTGGAGTGAAAAGGCAGTGTTTGAAAAGTTTAAGCAGCCACATACAAGGTTCGTGCTAGGATCAATCTGTTGGTTTTCTTTCACCCCAGCAGGAGTCTCTCCTCTTGCTGCAGCCCAGGGCAAAGGAGTGGTATGCTCCATAGGAATGCCTTCAGGAGAACACCCCCCTCGCCCAGAAGTAGGCTGGGTGGCATCGTGGGACCAGCATATCAGCAACTTGAGGAATCAAGGATCCCAGACCAGGATATGATACCTCGTCAAGGGTAGGTCTTAAAAGCAATGGAATTTAGGGAGGGTGTCATGAATGTTCAAACTTTAAATTGAGTTATTATGTTCTTTGGGGTTTTCTTCTTTGATTTTTGTCATTAATAGTCTATTTATGCTTACTTCTATCTTTGTTTCACAAAAGATAAACTAAAAAGAATAGGTACAATGAAAATAGATATTAGGGAAATGTGAGACAGAATAATAACACTAGGGAGCAAGTAAGTGTATAGCTCTCTAGGCAGTATATTATATAGTTGCTAAAACAACTGGGGATTTGTCTTTGATTTAAAAGAAAAAGAGAGATTTCTTAGGAGGACTAACGTGTTCCTTCATTCTTAGGTTTGAAAAACAATTACTCAATTCTCTAATCAATATTGTGGGCAATACCCTCAACAGTAATCTGTAATGTATTTATATATAGTATCTGCTTCTGCCCAGAGTGTTCTTGAACGTGTCTCAGTCAATGTTGACAGCATATCGTCAAAGCACAACTTGCTGAACTGAGATCTCTAGGTTCATTTGTGGTGTAGGTGTGGAAAGATGGGCTTTGGACACCAGGGCTGCTGTTCATTCTTGCAGTGCAAAAGGTGCCCTTTCCTCCAAGTGGATGCAGACCCTCATAGGGCTCATGGCATGGTGAGTGGAGTAGGATGAAGTTTAGCCCCCATTCACCTAATTGGCATAAATTGCCCAGTCAGACATGGTAGCCCTTCCTTAAACTAACTGGAGTTTAAATCTCATCTTTGAAAAAAATTTTATCTTCTGAACTTGTTTTCTCATGTATAAATTAGGCAAAATAATACCACCTTCCTAAGGGTTGTTGGGCAGATTAAAAAAAAATTACATGTGTAAAGGGCTTATAACTGACACATAGTAAGCAGAAAACTAGTCTGGCATTTATTGTCACAGGAACTGTTAGAGAGCTATTAATTTCAAGAGCAATGCAATCAGGGTTTATTCCAGAAATTTCAGGAATCCGTTCTCTCACTCAAGCCACGTTCTTGTTGCATCTGTTTTTTACCATCCAGGCAGGCCAGGTTTCTATGCTGCTTTGGCCTGGCTGATCTTTCCAGACTGTCTATATCAAACTGAGGGCCAAAGCAGTTAGGAGACATCTATCACAGAGCCTTACCTTTTCCTTTTCTTCTTGGCAAGTTATACATACACCAATGCCCTGTCTGACAAAACTCAGCAACAGATTTCTTCAGAAAGAAATTTGTAATTTTGAAGCAATTCCAAATGGGCTGTAAAATACTTTTGGTACAGATCTGGGGTGACAGTTTGTAAATTCAACGTAACAACCAGGTTGTCCAAAATGTATAATGCAAGTCAAGAAGCAGTTTGCATTTCTCTTTGCCTTATATCTAGAAAAGGGGCTTGCATTTAGCCTCTAATTATAATTAATCAGGTTTCATTTCTTTTCTTCTTAAATCGCTAAGCACAGATAGTGATTCTTAAATCACTAATAATGTCTGTTACTTAGGAATATATATATGGGTGAGAACGAGTGAAGGGAAATCAAGTTCAGAGATTTTGTGGGTGGGGAGAGAACCCAGCCCATGCTGTCTTTCTTTTCATTGGGTGCTGTTATGGCTCTTATCCCATATGTTAAGGATGCTCTGAGCCTGTGCCAGGCATAGGCTTGAACCCTACATACATGAATCTTCAGAGGCTCAGAGATTTCCATGCATGTTCAGGCACTGCTTTGTCTTTTACCTCCTGGGAGACTTACACTTATTGTCTGCATAGTGGTAGTTTTGTTTTGGTTCAATCATCATTGGGTTTGGAATATTCTCTCCAGCTGGCTGGCCACGTGTATTTTTCTGTGTGTGATATGCACCCGATGTTGATAAATGGTGACTCTAAGTCACTGTGTGCTCAGCACAATGAATCTCGGGGAGCAATCTCATTCTCAGTTCTTGAAAACAGCTATTTTCCACTCCTGGGGGACTGACCGTCTCTCCGGACTGGAAATGGGATTGGTAATAGAATTTCACAACTAAAGGCCCTCTTCAAATCTGGCCCTAGCCCCAAGGGGGAGTGAATGAATTTACAAGAGCTATCAGCCATCTGCTGCTTGTTTATCAAGTGTGTGGGCACTGTCTGCTAGTTAGGCTCCTGGTGTATATGACTTCTCTTCTTGGCACTTACGTCAGCCTAGCTTGAACCCAGCACATATCATAGGGAGGTCTGATGAAGGAATGAGATGAAGAGGAGATTCTTCAGGAGCTTTACCTGGAATGATAGACCTGGGACCACCATGGCAATGGCTTACAGAGCTCTGAACTAGGTTCTGTCAGGCAAATCAAACTCATGTCTTCATATGCTAGACAGAAAGAAATTGAATCACAGAAGTAGATGGCCACCTCCAAAGTAGAAGGGATCCAAACTGAATACCTTCCTCACTTAGCTAGCAACTTTACAGACTTAAGTGATCCTTTAAGAAGTTTAAAAATGAACATACTAAGAATAGCAGAGTTTAAATGGCTAACCTAAGGTGGCATATCCCATGTAAAAGGACCGAGATTGAATACTAGCCTTTCTGACTAAATGAACCACTAAGCCAGGAAAGAAATGTGAAGAAAATCACATTCATGGATGATGATGTATCAATGGAATAGCTAAGTGTATGGCTTTGGAGGGAAAAGTGGATCTCTTCAATTTAGTCAGTTGATTTCAATGCCATGCACACCAGGAACTGAGGCTCGGAGTCCCTTGTAGAGACGCAAATTCCTTGGCCGGACCCCTGAATCCCTGGGAACCAAACCAAGTGACTACTGTTGGAATTTCTCATCTTTAAAAGGATGCTTTGACTCCCCTAGTTACAAATGAAATGCACTTGTGATTTCTTTGGTGAGAGATCGGAGGAAGGGCAGCTCAAACTGGTATTTTATAGTCACTGAATGACAAGCCATGGATCAAACTTGTGAAAGAAGTCAGTGACTCTTAAGGGACACAGAACTCTGAAGTATCTTCTAATCCAGAACCACATTAGAAATTTAGCTCTCGCTTAAACTTCTGGAGAGTAGTGTGTAGCTTCTACTCAAATACCAGTGCTGGGACCCTTCATTCTGAGAAGGAAGAGAGGACTCTGGTTGAATAGTGTGCCTCTGGTTGAATAGCACAGAGGCATTACTTCAGTTAGTCCCCAGAGGAATTCCCCTAGGTCAGGTTTCCCACCTGTTTTAACTAACGAAAATATACAAGTGAAGCTGCCATTTATCTAAGATTCCAGAGCTTGTAATGGCATTGGGACTTAAAATCATGTCTGATATAAAACAAAATCACATTTTTGGAGAGTTCTAATTGTTTGAAGTCCTCTCCATGTTATAGTAACATTCTAGATTTCAGTTATTGCCAGCCATGTGTCCCATACCTGACTTGCAAGGTGACACATAAGCTAATTGCAATTCCTCTTACTCGCCCAAGTCCGTAATTCAGAAGACTGCCCCACGTTTGGTTTGAATTGCCTTTGATTACTTCGTCATCATGCCAGTGTAGTCATGAGGCTACAATTTACTAAGTCCTCTGAGATATTTATGCCTTTACCCAACAGTTTTACAAAGAATATTTAGATGCTGGTATAAGAATGTGCACCTGTCACCATCACATTTCAACCTGTTAAATTCTACCTGCAGATACACCCAGAAGGTATCTATGGGGAATACAATTTTATCCCAATTATATTTCTTGGCTCTGTGCCACTGATGAATGCGATAAGCGGACATCCTCTATCTTCATGCATATTAGTGATGCTAACAGGTTGACATCTGACCCCTTTTTTCTTGTTGAAATTAAGACATTGATCAGAAACTTTAGGGTCAGATTTTCAACCATATAACGTATAAGTGAAAGGCATAAGATCCCCCAGGGAATTTCCTTGTACATGACTATACAATTAGACTGTAATTGTAAAAAAGATTATACATCCCTAAAAAGGTGTTCTAGTGCACCTTAGGGTAGGATGCCCACTCATTTCTGGCTTTGATAAGAAGAATTACAATCAAACAATTTGGGATTAACTTGTTCCTCTGCTGCTTACCAAAGGTATAATTTGAGGGAAGTCACTTGAGTGCCCCTTAATCTAGTTTATTCATCCATCGCATGGTAATAATAATAAATAAGCCACAGGTTTTTAAAAAATTAAATGAGGTAATTAGACATAAGTATGCTTTTAAAAAACATTTTGCTAATGTCAGCTGTTATTATGTGTGAAATGGACATTAACTGGGATATAAGGGGAGCACTTACCTTGAAGATTTGTTCATGTATTCATGCATCCACTCGATCAGGATTTATTGATTGCCAACTCTGTACTAGGCATAGTAAGAGGGGATGGAGCTACGAAGACACCTAAATTTGATCCTCATCTTTTCTCACTGGTGAAAAGACAGACCCCTAAATTGCTCTGATTGTGTCCTTACAATAAAGACTTCTATTTAGTATGCAAGACACTTCATTGCAATTATTCTTTCCATTTATAAACATGATTGTTATTTGCACTATATTGCAAGACAAGGGGAATAAGACCTATTCTATGGAGGGTGGATATGTTTAGATTATGCTTAAATTTTAATGTTTCATTTAACATTTAAATTAAGGACAAATAACTGAGAGAATAGGGACTACTGTTCAGGACCCCAAACCGCATTTCTGTGAATCCACAACATACCTGCCCTACTCTCTGGCACTGGAAAATTCACCAGCTCTGAACAGGCAATAAGAGGGCTAGCCAGATCCTGGCATATTCCAAAGACTTGGAATGGTACCTTAGCATTCTTGACAAGCTGCTGCCGTGCACCAACGAACTACCTTACTTGGCTCCAGAAACCATGTGAGGAAAGTTGCTATATTGGTAGAGGCCCAATGGACTTCACTTCAATGTTCATCCCTGGAGAGGAATTGTATGCCTCCATTCCCGTTTGTAGGCTCAGCAATCTGGCAGTGAGGCAGTTTCTACAGAGTAGAGACCCACTGAAAATCGGATTTGGTCCCGGTAAACTCAGTGTGAAGCAGAAACACTCAGGATGATAGCACCCTGATGCTTCATGTCGGGCTTCCTGATCACCCCCAACTAGTGTGGCCACGAGTCTACAGACTAAACCTGGGCTGAGAGGGTGGTCACATGGATGGAGTGGAGTAATGCCATTATGGGTTTCCTGTTTGTCACTATGGAAAGGCCACACTTACCTGCTCAATCCCCATTTACTTTGTATTCTAGGATAGAGGTCAGGAAGACTATACCCCACCTGCCTATACAGCTGTGGTGTGTTGAAAGATCCCTGGACTTCAAGTAAGAAGATCTGGGTTTGAGTCTCAGTCTGTCACTTATTTTCTGTGTGACCTTGGGCAAGTCACTTCACCTCTCTGAGCTTCAGTTTACTTCTCTGTTTAACTGGGAGCATATTATCCGTCTCATGGGGTTGCTGTGAGAATTCAGTGAGATGGTGCATGTGGAAGTGCTTTGTTGACTGAATATTGCTCTAAGGAAGCACAGCAGAAAGCAGAACATGTAACACCATGTTTCTTTTTCAGGTATTCATCCAGTGGTTTAAAAAACCAACAAAATGCATCCATAAATATGCAACTGCCTTCAAGAGAGACAAATTCCTATTTTAATAGCTTGGATCAAAAGGACCTGATGGGCTATTCATCCACGCGGGCCAGTTCCGTGCCCATCATCCCTTCAGTGGGTCTAGAGGAAACCTGCATGCAAATGCCAGGGATTTCTGAAGTCAAAAGCATCAAATGGTACAAAAACTCCTACTCTGCTGATATTGTCAATGTGAGTATTCCAGTCAGCGATTGTCTTATAGCAGAACAACAAGAAGTGAAAATATTGCTAGAAACTGTCCAGGAGCAGATCCGAATTCTGACTGACGCCAGGCGGTCAGAGGACTATGAACTGGCCAGCGTAGAAACCGAGGACAGTGCAAGTGAAAACACAGCCTTTCTCCCCCTGAGTCCCACGGCCAAATCAGAACGCGAGGCACAATTTGTCTTAAGAAAGGAAATACAAAGAGACTCCGCATTGACCAAGTGACTTAAGATGGAGGAATCTGTGCATTCTGTGCTTTGCTCAACAGGAAAAGAGAGGAAATTAAATACAAATTATTTATATGCATTAATTTAAGAGCATCTACTTAGAAGAAACCAAATAGTCTATCGCCCTCATATCATACTGTTTTTTAACAAAATATTTTTTTAAAGGGAAAGAAACGTTTCAGGAGGGGTAAAGCTTACCTCTAAAGCTTTTGGGTAGAATTCTGAATACCATTTCAGTTAGTCCCAATGCCGGCCTCTTTTGGCTCTTAGTAGATGTGGGTGGTTCAGACCCTCAGCCCCACCGCACCAGTGTCCTCATAAAAAAGCACTGGCAGTTATCTGGTTTCAGAGAGACAAGCAGTATCCTGAGGGTGGACGTGCCAGTGAGCAGGTGGCTCTTGCATTTGGCTTGCTGGTCCCAACCCCTAAATTTCTATTCACTCGACAGCCTCCTCACAGGTTATGTCATGTCAACCAATGTAGTGTTTTCTCTTTCATTTTTGAAGAATGACACAAAGACTCTGGAAGGGGGAGGACAGGAGATAGAAGGAGTAATTGGGGGCAATCTTAGCTACTCTCATGTGCCAGTTCCCTCTGAAATTTGAAGGCACAGAATCTCAGAGGGAGGTGTGAAGGAAATTATTATAGAAAAAGGGATGAGAAAAATCACAATGTCGTGTCACTAAAACCATGCGAATAGAAGTGTTTTTCTTTGAGATTGTGTAGGGGCTCCAAAGGAGCGTTTCTCAGTGTGTGTGTGCCTGTGTGTGTGTGAACGTGTGCGCACGCATGTGCGTGCGCGTGTGTGTATGTATGTGTGCATGTGCGCGCACAAACGGGCGTTGGTATGGGCTTGCTCACTTGAGCACAGGTATGCTGTATGCACATGTGTTCATTGTGTGTATGTGTGTGCATGTGTGTGCATATTAAGCTTGCTAAAATTTGTTCTGAAACATCAGGGGATTTAATATTCAGAAAAAAAAATTTCCCTCTCAGATCTGTTCACTTTAAATTTATCCATTAAGTATAAAGTTCAGTTAGTAAGTTCTTAAATCAAGGTCACTTGCATGGCGGGGTCCTATAAAACTCTTGACAATGTCAAGATCATTTTCCGGTGTGAATACTTTTGAGAGGAACAACTATTGGCTCATTAATGATATCAGTATCACAAGGCGAGTTGAGGATGTGTGTTTATTTTGAATCATGCGTACTTAAATGATTTACACAAGCCAATTATCAAATTGACAGTTACCTTTTGCTTTCTCGTCATCCTCATTACTATTTATTTTGTAGCAAGTCTACTATTTGTGGACCAAGACATTGGCTTCTGTGGTTAATATGGAAAGAATAAATTGTTGAAATCACAAAGCCCAGACTTTTCAGTTCACAGGAAGCCCCCAAAAGAACAGTAAATTGTGTTGTATGTTCATTTGGAATAAAGCAATATTTTTACCACTGCTAAGGTGAACTGAAGCTTCTCCTGAAGATTTGTCTGTTTTATTTACCTTATTTTCATGGGGCATTCAAGGAAATTAGTGTTCACATAACCAGTCTTTTTCCAATTATTGGTGGTGTTGAGTTGTTATGTTTACACTGTTTTAAATAAAAAGGCACAGTATTTGAAAGTTTATAAAAGATTTCTTTTACTGCAGTCTGGGAAGACTTTGGTTAAAATTTCCTTGTGGAAGATTCACATTACTTTGAAAGGGAATGTAACTATATCTGAATCAAATATTGAATACATACAATTCTTACTGAGGTTGTTTCTGTTGAAAATACATTGCAAATTGCTCTTTGAGAACATTCTTTAATAATAGACATAATGTTATGCAGGGGAAGGAAAACATTGTGTTCTTAGCAACACTGTTTAGTGGAACTTCAAGGTCTCAGTTGTTGAAAACACTTTGGTAGAAATGATTTTATATTTAACAAAAGGTTTTTGGTATTCATTAATTGTCCTAGTATACTTATATTATTTTGAATATAGAGGTAATGTTGTTAGACTCTGAAAAGATTATCACAAATTTTTAACGTCTAGACCGCCTAGGCTCCCATTTAAAAATATCATATCTTTGGGGCAAGGATATATGACACCCATAAGTTGCATATCCAATATGTTACTGTGTTGAAATTTATCACTATTATCAAACATTAACTGGAAGGCCTCACAAGTCTGTTGAAGTCAACCTTGTTTCTTGGGTTTTTCATCACAAGTTTACCTGTGGCACACCTAAAGGATTCATACAGATTTCACCTAATTAGGAGGTGATAATTAGGTGACTCACAGCAGTTACTTTAATATATTTTTCACTCTGAAAAGATTGAATATTATCAATCAAACATAAGTCCTGATCCAACCCCCACTTTTTTTTTTAAAGTAGAACCATATATTATGTGATTATAAACACTCTGGTGCATCGTGAAGAGCATTAATATCAGGCTCACCCACTGGCAGTTTGATGTAAAGTTTAGAGATATAATTATTTCCTAATTGATAATCAAGACAAAAATCTTCCATAAAGAACAGATATTAAAGGTTATTTCAGTGGTCATTTGTCTTCTTTTGGAATATGAAGCTCTCTGAAAAGGGCCCAAGCTCAAAATGAACATTTTTGGGCACCATCTGACAAGTGCTGATAGCATCAAGACTTTCAAAGTTGATCTAACATGGCAAACACCTGGAGCCATTGGTACCTTGTCCTTCAAGCTCATGTGCCTACAGAGAGGTGCTTATTTCTACAAGACACCTTTAATTTTGCTTCATTTTCCTTGTCTTTTTTATGTGAATAGATATTTGAGATTTGTAACTAAGTAAGTTGCATATTAGTTATTTACTGAAGAGTGAATGTCACTCACTAGTTTTTCACTCTGAATCATTTTCTAATTAGTCTTTTTTTAATACAAGGCATATATTATTCCAAGTTGCCATGGAACACTGTTGTTCGAAATATATGACCAATTTTATGTTAATGAGAAATAATAGAAATGATGTTGGAGAATTGGCATCCAAATTTTCTTTCTGATTTTCCCACGTATGTTATTAAATGCTCTATGTTTTACACTCTAATCCAGTATCTACCTTGCTATGGGCTAAGGACTAAATATTTGTAAATTTATCACATCTCCAATGATTCACATCATTTCTAAGTAGCAATAGCAAGGTTTTCTGGAGGAGGAAAAGTGCTGATTTTAGGACTTCACAAATTAATCTCTTCTGATAATAATAGCATATCAGACCAACCAAAAAGAGAAAAGTAGGGCCAGGCTGACTTTGAGAGAATGCCCATTGGCTTCCAGATTGAATGACAGCTACAATGTAAGTGAGGCCTCTGGCAACCATGGCGAAGGCTGTCAATAACCAGGTCTCCACCAGAATACGCTTGATGTATGCAGCAGTCATGCACAACCATCTGCTGTATGGTGCTCTAGGAAACCATGGCTCCCTAAGTGAGGGGAGATTCTGGTTCCTTTGATCCCAGCCCTGTAAGCCAGAAAATATCGCCCTGAGACAAGTGCTGTGAAACATTTCCCAAATGAGCATCTACTATACTTAGGAACACAGCAGGAGGGGTGGGATTTTTATTTGATCTTTTGGTATCCGGGAAACATTTTATATATAAAGAATACTTTTTTATTATTATTCGATTGTATAGATTCAGTACAGTGTATTTGATGATAGCATATCTCTACTGTGTTTGTACCTTAGTCTTCAGAAATTCAGTCTTCATCCAGGAAAGATCAGCACAATGTTTCTGGGCTGTTCTCAATTTTAGATGCATCCCAATATGTTGTGGGAAATGATGCCTTTAAATAAGCTTTATCTCTTCCTCTTTTATTTTTTCTTTCCCTTTTAAAGAAATAGTGAGGGTAAAGGAAGAAATCCATTCCTTAAGATCCACCTTGTTTTCTTACAATTATCTGTTTTCTACTGTGACTATACACACACACACACATCTAAACATACATGTATATATAAAATATATACGCATATTAAATTTAGGTGTTTATTTTGTTAGCTTTATTTTCGCTTAATTTGACAAATATTAAAGTGAAAGCCAATGAAATGAAATCATTTAGGGATCAGCTGAACTGGCAATGTTTAGATAACAGAAGCATTTTTCAGTTCTTTCTTTTTCTTAGGTAAGCAGAAATATCCTCCGGTCTATTCAGAGAATTCACAAGACCCTGGAATAAAATCTCTGCTCGATTATCTCTTAGACATGAAGATTAAACTATGGGTGTATATGATTGCTGTCCCTATAGCATATAATGGTCTCAAATATATTTTTTACAAATATAGACACAAGTTCTCCCAAAGGTGCCTACACAGGTATCTTTGGCTTCAAGTGCCCATGAGCTCTAGTGAGGAGTTGAGGTCAAGGCAGAGTGACAAGGGGGAGATATTACATGTTAATATTGGATACCCCAGTGAAGATGTGCAGATGATAGCAGAGGTGACCAGACACCATCTTGATAAAATAGAGAACAGGCTTCTAGTACTTTGAAAACTTTTTTCATAAACATTGATTGCATGGGTGTTGTTGCCTATGAAATAATTAATTGTATGATAGCAAACAATTCATGTTGAGAGTCATCTTTGTGAAAGCTCGTGACTTACCTATACATATTAGTAGCATCATGACCCCATCTGTCAAATAAGGAGGATTATCTAGTTCATCTTCGATTTCCTTCCAAATTGAATAATACACTGTTATCCAATCATTCATACTCAGACTTTACCTGGTCATTTGTCATCCAATCATTTCACAATCCCTTGGAAAGTTAATAGCTATGTCTTGTAAAACTCAACAATTATTGGAACCTATATATCAACCTATATATATATATCTATATATTACACTTATAATATTCCATTTAATTTCCATAGAGAAATAGACAGGATCACTTTTCTCATTTTTAAAGTAAATTTACCTAGGACAGGTAATTAATAAGAAAGGATGGCTAAGAAAATGCCTAACTTCAAAGCCTGAGCATCAAAATTTGCCCCGGATTCTTGGATTAAAATTTGCCATGGATTTTTTTTTAAAGTGTATCCTTTGTGAATCTTTATCAAAGCCAGAGTAAGGAGTTCTGAGATGGCATGACACCTTGAAGATGTTCTCTCACAGATGCAATGCCACACTCTCACTAGATACACAGGATATTTCTTAATATTCTCAATTATTTGCACGTCAAACTCCTTAGCACAAACCCTCCAACTAATAGTGAATAAATTCTCTGGGGACACTTTCACATTATAGTTGGAAATAATCCTGTTCTTTGGGGGGCACAATAGACAAAAAGAAATGCGGGGTTTACCTATTTAATTTTGGTTTTA